TTTTTTTTTTTTTTTTTTTTTTGAATCAGAAACCACAGAGCAAAGCCTATTATAATCGATCCAGGTCTCTACTTGTCGAGAAAATCTGATCTTTTTTGGACTACTCAACGCCGGACTGAGCCCACAGCTTTCAAGTTGTTTACTGGTGAGTTTTTTAATTCCCATTTACATCAGCTTCAATCAATGTATATTATATATGGGAATCCTTTTAATGATATTAGTCCTTCAAACAATCTGAAGAGTATCATCATCTAAAGACTGATTCAGCTTTTGCTGGGAAATTATTGTTTCATGTTTTAAAGTTTCCCATTAATTATTTTTTTTCCACTTCACGTCAGGCTCTGCCTGGGTAGTCCTGACCCGCTCGTTTGTGGAGTACTGCATATGGGGCTGGGATAGCCTGCCCCGAACGGCCCTCATGTACTACACCAACTATGTCTCATCTCCCGAAGGCTACTTTCACACAGTCATCTGCAACACTCCCAATTTTCGGCCCACGGCTGTCAACCACGATCTTCACTACATTGCCTGGGACAATCCTCCAAAGCAGCACCCGAGATCCCTCTCGGTCAAAGACTTTGGCCACATGGTCAACAGTAGCTCGGCTTTCGCCCGGAAGTTCCACGCGGATGACCTAGTCCTCGACAGGATCGACCGGGAGCTGCTCGGGAGGCCGGCGGGCGGGTTTTCTCCAGGGGCGTGGTGCGTGGGGAGCGAAGCTGATCCGTGTGGGTCGATTGGGGATGACTCGGATTTCAGGCCCGGCCCAGGTGCCCGGAGGCTGGCGGGGCTTGTTAAGAGGCTGCTGTCGGAGGATCACCGGCGTAACCGGTGTCCGGGATTGTAGTGCTGATGATAGGTAGAGGTTTTTGGAAACTGTTTGAAGTGTACATTAATTTTTGTTCATAAAATATATGTACACAAGCAGAATTTTGGCTTCCTTCTGGTTTAAAGGGAAATGAATTTCTTGTTTTGGGTTAACTTTGCCAATAAAATGGAAATTGAATAGTGAGTTGATGAAAAAATTTGAAATCAGTGTTTGAATAATATTTTCCATATGTGTATTACTCAAATGCTGGGTTGTTCTTTGTACCTAAAGCATTTTTTTTTTTTCATCAATTTTTTTATCATCTGTGTCTGCTTTGTTGTTATATCATATGATAGGTTAATTGTAGAAGACTTCGAAGGCTGGTGGTTCAAAGTGCTATCCTGGGGAAAGAGGCAATTTCAGAAGACACGATTCAACTTACAACATACATTCTCTGGTTGTTGTGGAAAGCAAGAAATCTATGCGTTTCTCAACATATTTGGAAACCGGACAAATCAATCATTGATTCGGGTGTGAAGGAATGGAGTGAGTTCATAACTGCCCTTTTGTTCGCTACCTTTTATATCTAGCTAGATTCTTAGTAGCTCGATAGTTCTCTTTTGGTGCATTACCCAGTTTTGCGAACTTTTGATCGGCAAGCTATGGTTCTAGTGAGATTTTACTCCCAAATGGTTAAGGTATTAGCTTGTTGGAGATTATTTTCCTTTGTACTGGACCACCTGCATGTAGACATGTATGTCCATCGGGCCGGGTTGGGCCGTTGAACCGACGGATCAGATCCGTTGACCAGGGTTTTGGGCCAAAATTGGAACCGGGCCTATGTATTGTTCAGGCCGGTTCTAGTTCAAGCTTATAAGACATTTTGACTCGGAGGGACTAGACCCAACCTGGAACAAATCCGACACGCAGTTAGGCGCCAAAAATTTTTAGAAATTAAAAATTGAATATTTATTCTGGTTTTGGTTCTGACCTAGAACTAATAGGTCGGCGAAAGCTTTTTTATTAAAAAAAACATACCTGGACCCGCCAGGTCTGCAACCTAGACCTGCGAGTTCTTAACCTGAAACCTCGAATAGGTTTCGGAACACAATTTTATAAACTGTCAAACCGTAGAATCGGGTCCGCTAGCCAAGTCGGCCTTCGTGTATTATTGTTAAATTAATCAAGCTGAGTTCGAGCTCATTTAAAGCTTGTTTGTTTAACTCGTGCTCGTTAAGGCTTGAAAAGAGATTTTATTATTTTCTATGGTTCGGCTCGTTAAAGACTCGAACTCGATTCGTCATTAGTGATAAACGAGCTGAGCTCGAGCTCGATTTCAGACTCATTTATTTAACGAGCCGAGTTCGGCTCAGCCCATCAAGTGCTCGAGCTCAACTCGTCTCGTTTATAAGCCTACCTGCTTGTGGTTCTCTATTCTACCCGTGCATGTTTCATGGGCCAGCAAGCCATCGGTGTGACAGATCTATCTTTCATTTTGAAGAAAAATATGATAGGCAATAGTTTCCACATGTGTACACTTTTATGTACAAAATTTATCATTCACCCGAATGGAAATTCAGTTCGCATCCTTAAAATAAATAAAAATCTCTATATTTAGAGTATAACAACGCAAGAATTTAGTTGCCACATTCTGTGATTTGGAACCGAGTAAAACAAAAGCCCTATTCATTAGCAAAGCCTGACCTAACAAGAAAAAAAATAAAAAATTAAATTAATATTTATTAAAAATCACCTCAACTTTGTACTCCCGTTCAAAATTGATCATGCACGCTTTGTTAGCTCACGTACAACCCACTGAAAGGATCTTCGAGCTTCCCAAAAACATCCAACTTTGCCGGAATACTTTCGTTCTCAATTGTTGTCGGAAAAAATGTCCATCTTCAGTTACTAGGTAAGAAGACTAAGAGAATAAGATAGTAAAGAGAATTTTTCACAATGTACGGCGGTGGATACGAGTATGGAGACCCGGACCCGTACCATGACCCGGACAGTAGAGTGGCTGACGTGGACATCGACGATGATGAGGATGAATCAGACGAGATCACTCAGGAGGACGCATGGACGGTGATCAGCTCATATTTCGAGGAGAAGGGCCTCGTGAGGCAGCAATTGGATTCCTTTGACGAGTTCATACAGAACACGATGCAGGAGATTGTCGACGACTCAGCCAACATCGAGATCCGACCCGAAGCTCAGCACAATCCGGGCCGGAGCTCCGACTCTGTTGAGGTTCTATGGAAAGACATTAGAATGAATTAATATAGATTGGGAAGAAACAGAGTGTAGTTGCTGTCTTTGTTGATCACTACTTTTTTTCTTTTCTGTTCAGACAGTCTACAGGATTAGCTTTGGCCAGATATACCTGAGTAAACCGATGATGACAGAGTCTGACGGAGAGACTAACACACTGTACCCGAAAGCCGCTCGGCTGAGGAATCTAACTTATTCTTCACCGCTTTACGTGGATGTCATAAAACGAGTCGTGAAGAAAGGCTACGATTGTGAGGAGGTCATGGAGACTCAAGAATTCCCTAAAGTTTTCATTGGAAAGGTACTTTTTTTTTTTTTATTTAATTAAGTTACGTTTAACTACGAACAGTATCTTCTAACGTGTGAACAATCTTTTGTTAGGTTCCGATAATGCTACGATCGAGCTATTGTAGCTTGTTTAGTCTTTCGGAGAAAGACTTGATGGAGATTGGTGAATGCCCTTACGATCAAGGCGGATACTTCATTATAAACGGGAGTGAGAAAGTGCTGATTGCTCAGGAGAAAATGAGCACCAATCACGTGTACGTTTTCAAGAAGCGGCAGCCGAACAAATATGCCTACGTGGCCGAGGTTAGATCGATAGCCGAGTCGCAGAACAAACCACCCAGCGGCATGTTTGTTCGGATGCTGTCCAGGCCCGGCGCAAAAGGGGTGATTTAGAAATTAAATTTTTCTGTTCTTTACATTTTTTCTTTTTCCTTTTTTTTTTTTATTATTAATATTGAATTTTGATGAATTTATTGATTTGAGATTGTATGCAGGGATCATCAGGGCAGTACATACGAGCTACCCTTCCGTACATCAGAACTGAAATTCCGATCATTATTGTTTTCCGGGCTTTAGGATTGCAAGCGGATAAAGATATTCTGGAACGCATATGCTACGATTTTAACGACGTGCAAATGTTGGAGTTGCTGAGGCCTTCCTTGGAGGAAGCATTTGTGATACAAAATCAACAGGCATATTTTTCCACATTTATGTTCTGTAGTTCACAGTCTCACATTTTTTCATATTTTATTCTTAGCTGACTTGAAGTATGCTTATGAATAGGTTGCGCTCGACTATATTGGCAAGAGAGGATCTACTGTTGGCGTCACAAGAGACAAAAGAATCAAGTAAAAAGATGAAACCGATTCATTGCTTTATGATATGTTTACTATGTTGTGCTGCTCGGGTTGAAAAATAGAAACATTTAGATATTTCATTTTTTACTCGCATACTTAACAGGTACGCAAAAGAAATACTCCAAAGAGAGATGCTTCCGCATGTTAGTACTGAAGAAAACTGTGAATCCAAGAAAGCTTATTATTTCGGGTTAGTTTTTGCCTGTTAAGGTCCTTAACATATGTATCGTGAGCTTCTTCCGGCAATAAATTTATATTAAAATTTTGGTTTTCGGCAGATACGTTATCCACAGGCTGTTAATATGTGCACTTGGAAGGAGACCCGAAGATGATCGAGATCACTATGCGAACAAGAGGCTCGACCTTGCTGGTCCATTGTTAGGGGGTTTATTTCGAATGGTATGAAGATAATATATAGTATTATTTAGTATTATTAAGATAATATATAGTTTTATTGGATAACTGGAAGGAAAATATAATTCTTGATATTCTTTGTCATGTGCAGTTATTCAGAAAGTTAACCAGGGATGTCGGGTCGTATGTTCAAAAGGTTCTAATCATTTGAAGACATGTTAGTTGCCATAACATCTGAGATTACAATAATTTATAGTTGAACGTTTTTTTTTTTTTTTTTTTTGGCTGTGTGTGTGTGTGTGTGGAGCAGTGTGTTGATACTGGGAAGGATGTAAATTTGCAATTTGCGATTAAGGCAAAAACTGTCACGAGCGGACTCAAGTACTCTCTTGCTACCGGAAATTGGGGCCAAGCGAATGCAGCCGGGACCAGAGCCGGAGTTTCTCAGGTCGAACCTTTCTTATGTAATAGATATTCGTGGAGTTATATGCCATTAGCATATGATTTTAATTCATTTTTGCAAGTAGGTGCTCAATCGTTTAACATATGCTTCGACACTTTCGCATCTGAGGAGACTGAACTCTCCCATTGGCCGTGAAGGTAAACATTGCATAATCTTACATTGTCTTAATCTGTATTTATTGTTGTCTGTAACGAGTCTCACTTCTTGTTTCGTTAGGTAAATTGGCTAAGCCTAGGCAGCTGCACAATTCGCACTGGGGAATGATGTGCCCTGCAGAAACACCCGAAGGCCAAGTAAATATTTATCATTACTGGCTGTAAAATCCCATGATAATGTCCATTATCCCAAAATCCTTTGATTTTGTATGTTTGACCAGGCATGCGGATTGGTCAAGAACCTAGCACTTATGGTGTACATAACAGTAGGATCAGCAGCAAACCCCATTCTCGAGTTTCTTGAAGAGTGGACGACTGAGAGTTTTGAGGTTAAAGTTTGAGACTTTGGTGGCATTCGTATTTTCATATATATCCCCTCCAAAACTCTATGCATGACATTTTTTATTCTTTTCTCTATCTCTCGTTTTTCGTATAATAAAAGGAAATATCGCCAGCTGTAATTCCTCAATCCACGAAGGTATTCGTGAACGGTACCTGGATTGGAATCCACCGCAACCCGGAGCTATTAGTCAGGACTCTCAGACAACTAAGAAGACGGGTGTATAATCTAACATTATCCTTAAATTTCGTGATTTTACCGTTATTAGTTTCTCGTGATCCTTATGTTTGAACTCATGACAGGTTGATGTGAACACTGAAGTTGGTATTATCCGTGATATACGTCTGAAAGAGCTTCGGCTGTACACAGACTATGGAAGGTGCAGCCGGCCATTGTTCATCGTCGAGAAACAAAAGCTGCTTATCAAAAAGAATGATATTCTCGCTCTCCAGCAGAGAGTATTTTTCACAATAAAATTTTGCGTTCTTTAATTTTAAATATGTTTGTTTTGCGCTTCTATTTGATGTTGGTGTTCTTTTTACAGGAATCCCTAGAGGAATACGGTTGGCATGATCTAATAAGAAAAGGGTTTATCGAATATGTCGACACAGAAGAAGAGGAGACCACCATGATATCAATGACAATAAATGTAATTTAGCCTATAAGCAAAGTTTATATCTTTTATATAAAAGGAGCCTTATATATAATTTTTTCAGGACCTTATGAATTCGAGGCGAAATCCGGATGATGCTTACTCGGAAACATTTACGCACTGCGAAATTCATCCTTCGCTGATCTTGGGTGTTTGTGCTTCAATCATTCCTTTTCCTGACCACAATCAGGTGTTTGCTTGCTCTGATTGCTAGTTTCTAGTTTACTTATATTTAGTCAAATGCAAGAAAAAATATACTTTACGCATTTTCTCATCATTTGTGCAGTCTCCTCGTAACACGTATCAATCTGCAATGGGAAAGCAGGCAATGGGAATATACGTCACCAATTACCAGCTACGGATGGTTAGTTAGCAGCCAAATTCTTGAGCATGACTCCTCGAGTTTCATGTGGTTTAATTCTTGATAAAAAAAAACTCATCCTGAGTTTACTTTTATTTGGTTGAAAGCAGGATACATTGGCCTATGTGCTTTACTATCCTCAGAAGCCCCTCGTCACTACTCGTGCGATGGAGCATTTACATTTCAGACAGCTTCCGGCTGGCATTGTAATAATTTGTTTCATGAATCTCTTTCAGTTTCTTTCTCTCTCTTTTTTTTTTTTTTTTCTTTTTCTGTATTTTCAAGAAAAAAATTCATGTCCAGAAATCGTACTTATTGTCCTGTTTTTATGCAAGAATGCCATAGTTGCAATTGCATGCTATTCTGGATATAACCAAGAAGATTCTGTAATCATGAACCAATCTTCCATCGACCGCGGATTCTTTCGTTCTTTATTCTTCCGTTCGTACCGGTAATTTTTATCCTCATTTCTCCTCTATAAAAATCGAAACTCCCGCTATTTCGTGGTCTATGCACTTCCACTTGCTCCATAACTTCTTCTTCTTCTTTAGGGACGAAGAAAAGAAGATGGGGACACTAGTAAAAGAGGATTTCGGTCGTCCGAGTAGGGAAAGCACACTGGTTTGCCGTTTTAAATTTCGTTAAAAAACCGCATTTTCTATTTCCTAGGAACAGTAAAGAAGAAGAAAAAATACTGCATTTGATATTTGTAGGGAATGCGTCATGGATCGTACGACAAATTAGATGACGATGGCTTTGCACCTCCGGTGAGTTGAACAAAATACTCATTGTTCTTTGTTTTCTCTCACAATTATTACTATAATACGCATTCGAACACTCGATATTTGCTTTGTTTCAGGGGACAAGAGTCTCGGGTGAGGATGTCATTATCGGGAAGACCTCACCGTTACCTCAAGAAGAAGCTCAAGGAAAATCCGCAAGATTCACAAGCAAGGATCATAGTACTAGCTTGCGCCATAGTGAAACCGGAATTGTTGATCAGGTTCATATAATAACAATTTCACATTTTCACTTATCTGATGAATAATCCTACTTCAATTTGATATAAAAAGTATATGATATTCTCTTTTCTCCTGTTAGGTACTGCTGACGACGAATGCTGATGGACTGAGGTTCGTGAAGATCCGTATGAGATCAGTTCGTATACCGCAAATCGGGGACAAGTTTAGCAGCCGGCACGGACAGAAGGGTACAATCGGTATGACTTACACGCAAGAGGACATGCCGTGGACAATGGAAGGCATAACTCCCGACATTATAGTTAATCCTCACGCTATTCCTTCTCGCATGACAATCGGACAGCTCATCGAGTGCATCATGGGTAAAGTGGCTGCTCACATGGGCAAGGAAGGAGATGCTACACCTTTTACTGATGTCACTGTGAGTAATTTTTTTTTTTTTTGCCTTCATTACCTTTCTTCATATTGGTTCTGTTTTTTTATATATTTATTTATTTTTATTTTACTCTATATCAATTTTTCAGGTGGATAATATCAGCCGAGCCCTCCACAAGTGCGGCTACCAAATGCGGGGATTCGAAACAATGTACAACGGGCACACGGGCCGTGTTCTAACGGCTATGATATTCCTGGGCCCAACATACTACCAGAGGCTGAAGCATATGGTTGACGATAAGATCCATTCTCGTGGGCGGGGCCCGGTTCAGATCCTGACCCGGCAGCCAGCCGAGGGTAGGTCTCGGGACGGAGGGCTGAGGTTCGGTGAGATGGAGCGAGACTGCATGATAGCTCATGGGGCGGCGCATTTTCTCAAGGAGAGGCTTTTCGACCAGAGTGACGCGTATCGGGTGCACGTGTGCGAGAAGTGCGGGATCATGGCCATTGCCAACCTTAAGAAGCACAGCTTCGAGTGTCGGGGATGTAAGAACAAGACAGACATTGTTCAGGTAGAGTTATAATGTTAACCTGAGGTTGGGAGATTTTATTGTGTTTTTCTTTTTTTCTTGAAATTTTTGGATTTTTTTTTTCTTTGAACAGATAAACATACCTTACGCGTGCAAGCTTCTGATACAAGAGCTCCTGTCGATGGCGATTGCGCCTCGGCTGCTGATGAAGGATTTGAGGATGCTCAAGGAGGAGAAGAAGAAGGGAGGTGGGTGAAAAGTTGAAAATCCTCTGTTTTTATTTAAACTTTAGCTTTTTATTTATTTATTCTTTTTTTAGTATTTTATTTTTTTCAAATGTTCATTGCCTTTTGACGGAGACGAGACGCGATAACATTTTTAAATAAATATGATCGTCTTCGTATCTAGTGTGTTTAAATTTCATTAGCAGTCTTTTATTTAGTATTGGGCTTTCTTATCATTTTAGTTGTTGTTGGACCTTTATTTTATGGGCTTTTGCACTTAGGGTAATTATCTGATGTATATGAATAATCGTCTTTCACTGAGAGAGGTAGACTTTGATTAATGAAAATTAGAGATTTCTCTTGAGAATTGTTCGTCTCATTTCCATGTATTCATACATACGCTGTACATCACCTTTTTGGCCTTTTTATTTTGTGTTGGGGGAGGTTTTTGAGGTTGATTTTGGCTTGTCCTTTTAGCTACTTTGGAAAATCCTCTGGTTGTGTCGATAGCTTTTCCATCTACTTTTTATTAGCCTTTTTCCTTTCGTTTTTTCCTTCATTGGTTATCTCTGTATTTTTTTTTTTTCAAACATCAATTTAACTAGTGTTGATACCCGTGCATTGCGCGGGGTACATTATAAAAAATATTTTTTATTTAAATAATATAAAATTATTTAAGGCAATTATGAAATTATATTCTCCACGATATTCCATCCAATAAGAATAGAGACATTTATTTATTTAATATTATTGTTAATTTCTATATATATATATTGTGTTTTTTGAATATTTTAATATATAAATTTTATTACTTATAAGTTTATAAAATATTATAAATGATAATATTATATGATATTTGCATACAAATTACTTGTATGTACTTATAAAATAGTCGTTTATCATAGTCTTAAATTTTTTTCAACAATTCAAAATTTGCACGTTGCGTGATAACTGACCAATGTTTAACCCATAATATTTATCTTCCGCTTTAATTATTAAGTGCCTTAAATGTTAAAAATTTTGATATATAAAATTTAATTCTTTAATAACTTTAATCCTTATGCAACAAATAAATTTTTAATGTTTAAATATTTTATTTGTATGTTTTAATTTTTTATTAACACTGATTTCTTTAAAAATTCATTTTCAACCTATATAATGAGTTACATAGTATTTATTTGAGTATTTTGATATATTATATATTTCTATAATTACCAAGTACTATATTTTAAATTATTATACATTACTTATTTCTCATTTATAAAATAAAATTTAAGAAAAATATATATTTTAAAAAATTGAATAGTTTCTTAATGTACATAGATACTTCCTAAGGTGAAATTTATAATTCTGAATTGCACCCTGTTGTGTACAAATTATTCTATTTGCCGAGTACCGAATCGAAAGATTCGTTCCCCGGGTCGAACTCACGAGGAAGGCTGTTCGGAATTTAGCTTTGATATTGATAACACAT